CTTGAGATTCACTGTCCCCTTCTGGGACTCGGGCTCCTTCCACCCTCAGTAAGGAATTATTTTCGTCTCCCTCTCTTCCTTGGTGCTGTGGTCGTGGGCAGGGGTCTCCCCTCCTCCCTGGCCTCAGTCTTCCCATCTCTACAAGTGAGGCGAGCGCGCCGCTCCCCACCTGCCCCTGCCTCTCCATCTGGTTGCTGGACGCTCAGCCGCTCCCGGGGGCCGGGGTGGGGGTCAGCGCCCGGGCTGGCTGGGCTGCGGGCCGGGCTGCGGTGCCCTCGCTGAGCCGGCTCATCTGGCCACAAGGGCGCCGGCAGCTGGTGACCGGCCCGCCGGCCGCGGGGGCGACAGATGGGCTCCGAGGCTACTCCCCGCGCCCCGCCCCCCTCGCCGTCCGCCCCGCGCCCCGGCCGCTCGCGCTCGCCGACACGGCTCTCGGCCCCCCGCACCGGGTAGGACCCGACGAGCCTTCGCTGGGAACCTGACGCGCCGCACCGGGTAACCCCCGACTCCCGCATCTTCTCGCTCCCCCCTTCACGCGGGGACTGTGCTGGGGATGCGACCCAGAGGGAAGCCAGATCCCAGCGTCTGCCGCCGGGCCCCAGCCTGCGACTCCAAGGGTCTCAGGAGAGGGCTTTAAGTTCTGAGCCAGACTCCAGACCTCCGGTTCACGTTCAAAGGGCCAAGGTCACCTCCACAGGCAGTTCCTCTCTGGGGAGGTGGGCTCAGGTGTTCCCCCGCCCACACACCACCTGCAGCTCAGACTCCCAGGATCCGCCCAGGGCTGGGAAGTTTGGCGGCCGGCACGCCGAGCTCTCCCCAGTTTTGCGGCAGGATTGCTCTCAAGAGAGGACTGCCTGGCCAGGAGGGGTGGGGTTCTGCTTAAACGCTGACCGTCCCCCTCCCCGGCACCGCCGGACACTGCTACCGTTTCCTCCCCACCGCCCAAAACCCTCACACCACCGCTTTTCTTTCCCCGGGATGGTGAGGGTATTATTCTAATTTTGCAAAATGCACAGCAGCTAATTAAGTCAAGGAACCCCTTGGCTTTCAAGTTCTTTAGCATGTGAATGGGGGCTGGTAAATCCCCAGCTCTGGCTGGGGTGGGGGGTGACGGGGGACCGTCCCCAACTCAGGGTTAATGAAGTGGGAAAGGAGTCTCTCACAGCCTCCTGCAAACAAAACCCCCCATGCAACAAACCCTGCCCAAATCCTACATGGATTGACTTAAACCCAGGGGATAAGTGCTTTAAATTAATCTCATTGAATAAGAATGAGACCAAACAAAACTCTTTAAAATCATATTAAAAATCTATCAAAGGACAACTTGCACTGGTGTGCTTTTCATTTTGTGTAAGTGAAGGACGTATACTGGAGCAACCACCCTTACATTTACACAGCGGCCGTGTAAATCACAGACACATTCCCAACTATGTAATTGTCCTTGTACCGCCGAGGTGATTTCATATCTTACATTAATGAAGAACAAGACTTCCCTACAAGTTTATAATTACAATATTTTAAATTGTCCTGCACTTCCCATCTGTGATAATAACTTTACAGCCTCTGCAGTGAGGTGGGCTTCGACTTTCATCCATTTAGAAGGCTAAATCGGTTTCCCGGTTCCCAGCCCTGGGGCTGGGTGAACTCTCATTTAAAATAAAGGGAAAAAAGAAAAAAAAAAAAAGAAGAATGAATTGCGTGAGACCCCCAGCAGGCAAGACAATAGGAGAGGCACTGAGAGGGGGTGTCTCTACTCCTGCACTGACACCTCCCCCCAACTTACAAACGCAGACTCCGCGGGGGCGGGGGCAACAAGGTGGAGAAGTTGAGAGTCCCCAACCAGCCTTTGCTGCAAAGGCTTCTGGGCATTTTCGAGAAGTCGAGCTGATTTTAGGGGTGCGCAGCCGCCAGCACGCTGAAAGGCTTTGCCACGAACTTCTCTGTGGAGCAGATTAAGAGATAAGGCGTCACGGTCATGCAGGCAATTTAACGAGACCAGTGGAGCGCCCTTCGCAAGCAGGGCGACTTCTCCAGTGGAAAGAAAGCCTTACATTTCTGTCTCCTGGAAGCGATGGTTGGATTTTAACGGCTTCCGCTGACTACGCTGAGGGGCTCAAGTGCTGAACACCAAGGGCGCTAGCCGTTTGGATCCAGCTGCCTTAAGGGGCTATCATTTACTCCCCTTTCTTCCCTAAATCCTCCTCCCCTCACCACAGGGGGGAAAAAGAATCAAAGGAATCCACTGGGCTTTGTCAAAATGTCCTTTGCTGAGATTCGGTTGTCTCTGCTTCTCTGAGAGTGGAAAATGCCGTTTGCATTGCATCAGCGCTGCCTTAATCACTCACCAAGGGCTCTTTGCCCCTCAGCGCGTGAGAATGGGGGGCCCCCTCTGAAGATGTGCAGCCGCTAAGGGTTGCAAACACGATGTCTAGGCTTCAAAAACAAAGCATTTTACAAGCCCATGAGGGAAGAAAGCTTTAGGCTGCAACATTCCATGAAATGTCCAGATTCCCTGACTTTTAAATATGGGGATCAGGCTTATGACACAGAGAAAGAGGTAAGTTTGGGAAATTAGAAAAAGAGGCACGATTGGAAATACACACAAAATTAGAACAGGTACAGTGGAGTTAGGCTAAGGCTTTGCCTAATTGATGCCTGAAATGTATAATCTGTCAAGAGCCATAATAAGAAAGAGATTTATTTTAAGGTTATTTAAATTTAGATAATATTAACCCTAAATCTGCTAAATCCATGTTTCTTTATTAACTGGGGGTAATATACACTGATTTTACTTAGAAACAGGCCCACACAGCACCTACGGCAAGAAACCCTCACCTAAGTGTCAGCAAAGTAAGAGCGAGCTTCCATCTCAGAATTACAGTCACTTACATGCTTTGCACAGTCCTGGCACTTCTCCCCGCCCCCCGCCCCG